AAATGGTAATTTGACTGGCATGATACATTCGAGTATGTGTTTTTTCGGAGAGGTCTTAACGGTCTGTATTCTTCTCCGAGGAAGATTACAGAAGCTGATTTTCTAGTCAGGCAGAAATCCTCCCCAATTAACACAACACAATCTTCATATATGCTTATTTCCTTTCATTTGAACATTATGCCTTACTTGATTACTTTTAGTAACTATTGATAAATTCAGTCTGCTTCCTTGAACACTTATTTTATAGTTATATTGTCTATTTAACGCATCACAGTCTTTCTACCCACTTTTCACCTTTCACCAATTTAAAATATAGTGAAACTTAGTCAATAGAATTAGAATACATATTTTCATATTTCATAATGAAACTCTCTCTGGCGCTATACGGTCTTCCTACCCCCCTTTCCCCTTGCTAAAGAACCAATCACTATCGAGAAATATATTCGCAGATTATATATTTCTATTTGGTAAGGAAACTGTTTCCTGGCGCCAGACAATCTTTTTAGTTCATTTTGAACTTGTGCAGGACATACCGAGAAATTTACTCTGCATCGTAGATTACATATTTGTATGTTTTTTTAGTAAAACTCTTATTCTGACGCTACACATTCTTCTTACCTTCTTTTCCTCATGTGCCGAACTTAACTCAGAAGAAATATCAGTAATCTGCTCTATAGATTACTTATTTGCATATTTTGTAGTCAGATTGTCTCTCTGGCGCAATACAATCTTCTTACCAACATTTGAGATTGCGCCAAAGAAATATAATGATACTCCACGTCGTAGATTATATATTTACGTATTTCGTATATTTGGTGCATCATAATCTTCCTTTTTAAACTTGTTCTGCGCTAAAATCGGAGAAAATATCCCGAAATTTAACCTGCTTCGTAGATTACATATCCCAGAGCGATTCGCTGGCGGATCACAATCTTTCTAACCACATTTGAGCTTGTGATATACTAAGCTCAGCTTAGTAAATCTCCCACGTACTTCTTGACAATGTTAAGCGTTCTAAATGATTGTGCCGGCGCAAATCTGGTTGAACCGATGAAATAAGTCTTGTCCGTTACATGTAATTATGGGCCTCTTACAAACAGGAGATATTTTTCTCAAACAATAGCTCCATAGGGGAGATCGTTGAAATTACAGGACCTACAATACATACTCTTCTATGCTACACCGGTTTTGTGTGTCTCTGTTAGGATAGACACGTATAGCAATTCGCTGCGACGCTAAATTATCTGTTTCTACGCCCTACTGTTAGGGGACTTACATATCAAATTTTATTACGCTAGCCAATATTTGCACAATAAAACTGACAGTAATCAACTGATACCTGTTCTTATAAGAACTATTTACAGTATCTTATTTTGTGGTGCAAGATTCTATTATGTAACTTGAGGTTTATCATATTATATATATATATATATATATATATATATATATATATATATATATATATATATAATAATCCGTTGGTATATAATCCAAGTGAATCCTAACGATATAAAATATTAAAACTGATCAACAAAAAAAAAAAGAGCTTAATGTATTCATTATAACAGAGCATATAAATTACATAGAATAGAAATTCAAATTTAACTCATTTGAATAGCTATTTCAATCAACAAGTCCTATGTCGTTGGTATTGTTAACTCAGAAGTGTGAAGGAATAAATTGGAACTTAAAATTTAAACATTTAAAAATAAAAAGAAGAGAAAAAGGAAAAAAAGAAAAAGGGAGAAAGAAAAGGAAGGAAGAAGTAGGAGGCAGCCGATGGAAAAAATATATATTAGAGTCAACACCCGTGGCTTGACGATTGCGTTTAATTAACTGTTGCCGCTGTGTTCAACTCAGTATCTACTTTTATATTTACATGCACTCTAACCCTGATATTGAGCATTTTTACTCATAAATATAGTATACTTACAACTATATATTGTTATATATATATATATATATATATATATATATATATATATATATATATATATATTTTAATGCATGTTTCATTAAATAATATAGAAAAGTTTTGTCTATTTATTTTAAGTAAGTTCCTTTCATATTGTCTTAATCATATTATCGTTGAAAACCAAAGGAAATACCATATTGATACATGTTTAAATCCAATCTAAGCTTTCGGTTTACATAAGCCATTATCAAAGATGACAATTTCAATAAATCAAACAACACACGGACGAAACAACAATGATAGTCCCGACAAGTCACGACAAACTCGTATATACAAGACGCGGAAGCGAAAATCGCGTCGCAGCTCGTGACGTCACAAATGACCACTCGAGAGTGAAAAACGAGAAGTATTAAGTATGGGAAGCCGTTGGTATAACTTCTGTTATAAATTATAGGCATTTAAGGATATTTGTGGAGATTTCATAGTTTATTTTGTTCAGGTTAGATTTCAACTGTTTTATGTAAAAAGCTTCAAGAATTTTAAATTTTTGTTAATTGTTTTCGATAATGTGATTAAGCTCATCATACAATATGAAAGGAACTCACTTAAAATAAATAGACAAAACTTGTCTATATTATTTAATGAAACATGCATCAATGAAAAATTGCTGCCTAAATATACACAATATATATATATATATATATATATATATATATATATATATATATATATATATATATATATATGATAAAGGAAAAACAAAAATAAACAGTCAATTACTGATATCCCTGAGGGAGTAACTGCTAATTATATATATATATATATATATATATATATATATATATATATATATATATATATATATTTGGCTGCTTCTCTTTTATTACAACACCATCCAGAATTTGGAGCCTTTCTTTTGCACTGTGTTCTGTATAAAATGTTGGTGTTATATACTAAAATCTGTCTCATGTTAATACTGTTTTGCCTATTTGTTATATGTTCACCTATAGTCCCACGAATTACATTAAATTTTAAATTCTGACCAATGTCAAGTCAACCTACGCGAGAGTGTGGTGAATGTGTGACCAATGTAAAAGTTAACGTTGATGTTACTTGTTAGTGTTTTTTTTTAAAATAACATTTCATTTTGATTTTTTATATATATATATATATATATATATATATATATATATATATATATATATATATATATATATATATATATATATATATATATATATATATACCACATAACACCGTTGAGCGCTTAACCTTGGAGCAGGTAGAATGGAGATCAACGTGTTTTAGTGGACTCAGCAATTCCAATCTGCTTGTCTGAATCATCTTCAAGAAGCGAGAGCAAGAACTAAAAGGTCAGCCAATCTAAAAGTGATCTCATCTCACAATCCTCACACTTGCTTCATATGTGGCCTCCTTTGTAAATCACTAGCGGATTTTAAATGCCACTTATGATTATCGCACGAACTTTCATAACTGAATCAATTAAGTTGTCAGATCCTCATACGTCGAAACCTCGGGTGCAACTTAATGCACCGAAACAAAGTTGCATCTTTGTAGTGAGTAAATTGTTTTTGTCTATCTGAAAAATTATAACATATATATATATATATATATATATATATATATAGAGAGAGAGAGAGAGAGAGAGAGAGAGAGAGAGAGAGAGAGAGAGACAGAGAGAAAGAGAGAGGGAGAGAGAGAGAAAGAGAGAGAGAGGAGGCACTGTTGTGTAATGGATAGCAGCTCAGATTGAGGAAATCGGAGAGCCGAGTTCGAATTCCAGTTGAAGCCATTGCATTCACTTACGTGCTAATAAGCTTCGGAAAGGTATGAATCCTTTTCTTCTCCCCTCCGCTATGGCGTAAATAGCAGAACAGACCGGGTTCTATAGCCTTGGATGGCAACTGGTCTAGGAGGGTCGTTTGGGGTCCCCAAACGACCGTAGGTTTTGAATTCTCCGCTGGATTTGAATTCAGAGTTGTCCTTCTCCTTGACCAGTTGCCATTCAGGGCTATAGAACCCAGTCTGTCCTGCCATTTACCCATATATATTGATTTGGAATGAGGAATCGGAGAGCCGAGTTCGAATTCTAGTCGTGTTGGTAATATTTAATTGCGCCAAAATACCCTTGGTTGGAAGAAGATAGGATAATGGAAACATAAGTTTGGAAATTGCGCCAAAGATCACAGAGTAAATTGAAATAATAGGTATCATAAAAACAAATAAATTTGCTATTAGTATATTACCAAAAGAGTTCATCATCAGTACTATGACCGTGTGTGGCATAGTATATTAATCAAGTATATATTTCTATGACATATCAGTTTTTTTTATATATTCGTTTGTTTTTTCTGCGAATAATCTGAAAGAATAAGCTTTCGTAGCATTTTTTGCTTCTTAACAAATCTGATCATCCTGTGAACAAATGCTATCTAGCTTATTCAAAATTTATTTGAGATGAAATACGAAGTAGACAAGAATAAGTATGTTCGACATCATTATCTCCTTGTTTGTAATCAAGGTCACAACGCTGCCAAAGTTGCTGGAGCCATTTGATTGGTTCTTTGATTCGTTTTCTACGGCTTATCAACCCTTTGCAGGTTATTTAAAGTCAGAAAGTATTTTTTTAGAGTGTAAGAATTATTTTGGGGAGATAATAATGATTTAGTGCTACAATTCTTACTAATTAACCCATAGCTGGGGGAGAAGAGGTGGATTCATACTTTTCCTAATGGTATTTACGAGTAAGTGAATATAACGAAAGCAACGGGAATCGGAACTCGGTTCTACGATTAACAATTCCGAGCCATTATCCGTTAACGATATTTCTGTCACGTCTGGTCTGTTGCTTCTGCAATGCATTTAAAGATCCTTGACAAAATCCAAAGAAGAATTTTTGGTGGGGATAATAATTGCTTAGTGATACAGGTCTTACTAACTAACCAATACCAAGGGTATTTGTGTGTAAGTGAATAAAACGGACCCAACGGGAATTGGAACTCGGCTCTACGATTAAAAATTCCGAGCCATTATCCGTTACATTACGCGCACATTCAAGCTTAGACCACCCGTTATTCCCAAGCAGTTCCCCATCTAGGTACTGGCCAGGCTCGACGTTGCTTAACTTCGGTGATCGTACGGAAAACGGTGTTTCAACGTGATGTGGCCGTAAGCATCGAAGCATTTCTGCTCTGTAGGAAGATGACTTCGTTGTCGACGGAATGGCACAGAAATGATTTTCCCGCTTCAAGGAGGAGAGAGTTAGAGACTCTTCGAGTTCTGGCCGACCTCTTCAGTTTGATAAGAACCAATTGCCCGCGATAAGTAAATATAGAACCAGGCGAGAGCACTCGGGAATAGGCGCAGCAGTGGGCAAGCTCTCCTGTTACTGTCGCTCATCATCTTCACGCAATAGATAAGGTTCAGAAACACGGCGCATGAGTGCCACACGCATTGACCGAGAGAAGTAAACTCTCGTGCTCTTCCATTGCCGCCAGTTTATTTGCTGGACACCAGATTAATCGGGGACACAAAGAAAGAGAACGGTTGGGAAGATTCCTAAACTGTATTATCAAAAATATGAAACGGAATCAGCTTAATACCGGCAAGCCTGCAACACCTCGTACTGTTGAGATGTTGTGAGTTTCCCGAGTGTCGGTGTATGAATCAAGACAAACACAGTTGTAGGGGAAAATACTGGTATATTCATAAAAGCAATTAACAATAGAGTGATTAGTAGAACGAAGGTTGGTTAGTACGAAACAATATCCAAAGTCTATAGTCCAACGGTATGTACCGGGTAAGCTTATCTGGACTGCTAACACTGACTCTCTCTCTGACGGTCTGTCACTCTCTCTCCAGAGCTGACTTATATAAGAGGGACCAGTCCATTACTAGTTAGAAGGTGGGTGCGCCCCAACACGTACCAAACCAGAACAGAAGTGAATGATCAGGGTTTGGTGTGATTGGCAAGAATTAATTTAATATGAAATGCTTTTAAAAAACCCAAATGGTCAGTGTCGAGCTGTGCGTTGAACAAATAAACAGAGACTCAAAGAGGCAATTTAGCTGAAAAGACCTGACCGGCAAATACAATATGATTATTCAATTTGACAATGTTCTCTCCAGTGTCGCTAATATGAACAAACATGCAATTAAATAGCTCGGTTGGGAAGTTCTGCTACACCTACCATATTCTCCTGATTTAGCCTCTTTAGACGACAACATTTTATAGTCGCCTTTTAACAATTGGAGGGGTGTTTCGTTCAACGATTGTTGTGGATTCCGAGATGAAATTCGGTCTCCAATGAATGACAAACGCAAGAATTAAATATAAGAAATGAAATGTATTTACACTATAATACAAACGGTAGTACTGTTAGTAAATCCAGGAACGCGGTTAGTAGCAAAAACATATAGATATATACAGTCTCGAAGTAGGACTTCCTTAGCGTCTACGTGCGTGTAACTGACTTCTACAAGAGGTCACCTCACACTATTACTCTACCTCCAACTCAATCACCATCTCTATCTCCGTTCGTATATTCTGGCTGACTGTGGGTATTTAACGGCAGCAGTCCAAGTAACACTCTGGTCGAGTCCACTTATATGAAAAAGGGGAGGACCCCATAACAACAATGATGTGGAGTTTACAACGGAGTTTGATTCATTTTTCGAGTCAAAACCCAGTGTTTTCTATCGTCCAACAGTTAGCGAATCGTTGGCAGGAGGTCGCAAACAATGCGGGGTGGGGGAAGACATTGATGAATGATTCATCTGAACTATTAATAAATAATAAGTATCAAAATAGATTACAAAAAAAAAATCATGTAACAACCGAATATAAAGATTGCCACGGGTTGGAACAGAGAAAGAAGATATTGTAAACTTATTGAATGATAGAAACACAATACAGAAACACGACGCTTCTCTATTGCCACTAGTTTACAAGCTACTCATGGATAGAAAGAAAGAGCTCGGTTGGGAAATTCTGCCACACTGACTATATTCTCCCGATTTAGCCCCTCCAAAATATTATCTTTTTCAGTCACTTTCAAACAATCTAAGGAATTTTAAGACATTTTTATGTTTATACATTCTTTTTTTTTTTTTATAGATACAGATATTTAAGTAAATGCTCTGTTTATAATAAACAGTATTAACAACATTTACCGGCCTGAATGTTCGAGAAATATGCGTCCTCCGACAGGAATCGAACCTGTATCCTATACGGAACCGTCATATAACCTGATGTGATTTTATCGATTGAGCTACAGAGGAGCGTTCGGTTAGCCAGGTCGATTTTACTGTTTTTAAACTACAATCTTCCATAATTTTCTCGCGTACACTCATATCTGCTCGATGCGTATCCAAATGTAAACAAATGACGTCACACATTATGAAATGGACAAAGTCCGACAATTATTTTAAGACATTTTTATGTTTATATATTCTTTTTTTTTATAGATACAAATATTTAAGCCTTTTTCCTAATAAACAATATTAACAACATTTACCGGCCTGAATGTCCGAGAAATTGTCATAGAAAATATGCGTCCTCCAACAGGAATCGAACCTGTATCCTATACGGAACTGTCACATAGTGCTTTTACCGATTGAACCACAGATTTTACTGTTTTTAAACTACAATCTTCTATGATTCTCTCATGTACATTCATATCTGCTCGATGCGTATCCAAATGTAAACAAATGATATTTGTAGCTATAAAAAAAGCAATTATAAACATAAAAATGCTTTAAAATAATTTTCAAACTTTGTCTATTTCAAAATCTGAGGTATGTTGAATTTATGTTTATGAAGTTTAAAATGTCTTCATCATTTTTTTTTTAGTCAAAACCTAGCAACAACAACCTGCTACTTAAAACATCACTCAATTAATTTTTCAAGTTAAAACCAATTGATTTCTATAGTGGAGGCACGGTACAGTTAGTGGACTATTGGCAGGAGGTCGTAAGCAACAAAGGAGAATACGTTGTTGAATGATTCAACAGAACTATTAATAAAAATAAGCATTAAAATAAATTATGTAAAAAAAAAAAAAGAAAATCGAACGAATTTATGTAACAAACATATGTCTTTTGGATTTGAATAGAAATAAAAAAAAAATCATGTTGCTGCTTGTTTGCATTATAAAGCACGAGAACTCCTGAAACAAGTTCTTATCAATATTTCTTTTTAATGACGATAGATATTATTAGATAAGTCATATAAATATATCCTGAAATTGATTAGCGTTAGTTGGTTAATGGGAAGTTTATTGTTAAAAATTGATTTGCATAATACAATCTGGCAGATAAACGAAAGAATCCAGGATAAAAAAAAAATCAGATTATAAAATACAGGGTGTCCATAAAATTTGTGGGCACTTTAAAAAATTTATAACTTTATTTGTATTTGCGATAGAAATAATTTGTAAAAATGATCAGAAAGAAGTAAATCTATAATTTTTAATGTTTTATTGAAATTTTATTTAAGTTTCCACATGTCCTCCAAAATAAGCAATACAAAGGGTAATACGATTTTGCAGTTCACGGAAAACATTTGCCAATTGATTTACAGTAATGCCTGAAATCACATTAGTTATTTTAGCTATACTTAAAACTAGGTACATTAAACTTTATGTGATTTCAGGCATTACTGTAAATCAGTTGGCAAATGTTTTCAGTGAACTGCAAAATCGTACTGCCCTTTGTATTGCTAATGATGGAGGACATGTGGAAACTTAAATAAAATTTCAAAGGAGCACAAACACGCATGCGCGTGTGTATATGAGTGTGTGTGTGTTCAGTGTGTGTGTAGCTTGTGTGTACTCTGTAACAGCTGTGAATTTAGACAGTACACGCCTTTACTGATCGCTAAGCTGTAGCAAGATCGTGTTGGGCGAACGCCTTCGGTTGAAAAGGCATTCGTCAAAGAAACGAAACGAAACAAAACAAAAAATGTCAGCATCCGAAATTCAGCCTTTCATCCCGGCTCGAATGTCAATGACATACGTAGAAAAAAAAATCTCCGACATTATATCGCCTCACAAGAAATAGTCAAAGAGTTTGAACCAGACTAACACACACGCGCGTGCCGGTGCCGGCATATGCACACACACACACACACACACACACACACACACACACACACACACACACACACACACACAGTTAAATTTACACGCACACACTTATGCACACACGCATTCACTAGCACAAATGCGCACATACTCACGGACGATCATACACACTCACGCACAATCGGGGCAGACACATTCAAATATACATGCACGAACACGCACACATACTCAATAAAACGGTCATGCACATACACGCAAACACAGAATCATAAATGCACGCACATGCACACTCACACACAAATACGATCCTCGGCAAACAAATATGCACTCATAAATACATACGTGCACAAATACACAGGCTACAGATATATGTATAAACCATATTTTTTAAATTTATAATATATATATATATATATATATATATATATATATATATAAATATATATATATATGTAAGCAAATATATGGATATAGATCGACAGTATGAAGAAAAATATATACGGAAAAAACAAACAAAAATGTCATGTTGTATTGATAATGTTATAATTTATGAATATGTTCTGAAGATGGTTTATTAGACAGAAACGTCCGACGATGACATATTAACATTAAAACAGCATAATTGTATATAAGGATTTTGTTTGTTTTTCCGTATATATATATTTTTATATATATATATATATATATATATATTATAAATATATCTATATAGATATATATAAGATAACAATATATATTTTATATATCAAAAACAGTATTGAGGAAATTTTAAGACTAAATGGAAAAATTTATTTTCTGTTTTCCTTTTAATATTTAAAAAAATATTTTTTCATATTTTTTAAAAGAATATATATATATATATATATATATATATATATATATATATATGTGTGTGTGTGTGTGTGTGTGTGTGTACATGATCAGGATCGCTGCAAGGGTCTCGTGTCCCTCTCATGAATCTATGATACAGGATCACCCACTCTTTTACATCGAAATTTTCATAAGGTAGTATTCATATTTCATATAAAAATTCAAATTTTATTGTAACCTAATTATTTACAACAATGGACCATATACAATATACGTGAAC